GATAGACAGTCTTAATAATAGGAACGAGTTCTTTGTGATCATTGATCCGAACCGATAGCCATCCGCCAAATATTTTATCAATTCTGGAACTCTGACCGTCGCCTCCACCCGATTGACCGTCATTTCCGCCATAAGGAGCGCAAACATATCGAATCACATCCTCTTTCAAACAATCTTTTGCTAATTCATCGATTGTTATGTCATTGATATTTGAAGCCAAAGATGAGCTCAAAATGAAATCGTTATCATTCTATTTAATGAGAAAATGCATTATAAGAATTGCAATTTTTAAAAAATAGTCAAACCTTCGAGTTTTGGAAATTATTTTCTGTGTTATGATTCCTAACTTGAACTTCAATCAGATCGACATAAGCGCCAGAAATGATCAGTTTTCCGGTCTCTTTGATAAAACTTTGAAAATAAATTCGGTTCCCTTCTCTCCACATCTGGGTCTCAATGGTTTGTCCGGGAGTTACGGGTCCAACAAATCGGGCTTTAATTGCCCGGAAGTTCTTCACATCATATCCGGCAAATTCACGCAATACATGCCTCATTGCAAACCCCATTGTACACAAGCCGTGGAGTATAGGACTTGAAAACCCTATTTGTTTGAAATATTAAAAATTTTTTATCACCGAATAAAATGCTATTAAATCAACTCAAACCTCCGGCTGAAGCAAACATCGGGTCGATATGAAGAGGATTTTTGTCGCCACAGAGACGATATATAGCCGCCTATTAACGAATAAGAGTTATATAGGAAACTAATTTGATAGCAACCAAAGCCAAAACCTGATCGATTGAAGTTTTCTCAGAAACAATGGCATCGGGTTGTCTGTTAGGCGCCGAAACAATAGGCTTAATATTGGTGTCGTTACTCATTCTTTTGCCCCCAAAATTTCCCGATCCGACCATAAATAGAGACATTTGGTTGTAGAACACAAGCGATTGGTTTTCATCAAATGTCTCAACTAATTATTTACGCAAATTATTATATGTTTTAAAAATAAATGCAAAAAACAATACTTCCTATAATGAGGAGAGCGCCCGAACCCTTGTCTAACACATCAATAATTTTTGGCACTGATGTTAGGGTTGCGGACGAAGGGATGGGTTTAACGAGTTCTAAATATTGTTCGCCGTGTATTAACTTTTGGATTAAATAAATTGAATATAATTTCGTGTTAAATATATGTTCACTTAAATATCCATAAACAGATAAATTAGATAATTAATATTTACTTTAGTCATATCGCCGCTGATATTATGGGCTTTTAAGGCGTCGTGTAATACATTGCTTTCAGAAAAGGCTTTTAAACCAATAACTGCTCCAAAACTGGGAATTACTGAATATTCATC